TTGTGGTGTTATTGAGAAATTTGTCTTGGAGGACAGGTAAATTGGGTTCTACATTCATGGACATGATGATTTTGGTATCTATAACATGATTCTGGGTGCCTTAAAATGGATTGAATTTTGAAAGACCATGTGCTTTTGTGATTTTTTCTGTGCATTGGAGGTGCAAGTGCAAATTGTATGCAATAGAGTACCTCATTTGCAAGTGTAATTGAAAATTTACTTTCAAATTGATGCCATTTTGCCGCAAAAAACTTCAGTGTCTTTTCTATGCAAGGTGTGATCCGATTCTCTTGAATTCTCCTATTCATATAATCTCTCACAATAGGCACAGAAGAAGCTCAGAAAGGAACACTTTGTTATACCATGTCTCTCGGAAATCACAAAGAACTAGATGAGGATGCAATTTATCTGCACGACAAACCTTTTGGATAAAATTTTATAACTTCTACTTAGTGCATATATAGTGACAATGCAGGGGGTAGTTTACTGGACATTTTCATGAGTTTTCTAATTCATATTGTTGATGCCATTAATGAGTGGTGTCTGCTAAGATGGCAGATTCTGACTTAGGTTGAAATGCTCCAGTGGTTGCAGAAACTCAAGCGGTGGATCCCTTTGCCTCAAACAGTAAATTGGATGACTTTACTAAGAATAGAATTGCTGATACACGTGTTGACATTCAGTTTTCCAAAGAAAAAGGCCTGACATCCAAAAAGACTGCTGTCCCTGAATCTAAGCAAGTCAAAGGAGCTCTTCCTGAGGGTTTTTTTGATGACAAAGATGCAGACCTTCGTGCACGTGGCATTACACCTGTTAAACTGGACGTCAAGTAAGTATTGTTGTTTACTTATGTGTCTTGGTCCTTATATAACTTTGTTTTTAAAGTTAGTTCACGGTGAAATAGTTATCGTGTAATTCACTAGAAAAGAGAGGCATTTGAGTATTCATTTAAGTGGTGTGATGTTTTCCCTGCTCTCCTGGTATCTTATGTCATCATGAGCCCCATTTTTGGACGTTATGTTTCTTTCTAAAAGTTAGGTAGTGAAAATATTTATTAGCTGCTGAAGGAAGAATACTTTTTAGACATGCTAGGTGCCATTTTTCTTTCGCTAGTGTGAAAGGTGGTTTACTAAATTTTGCAATTTTTTATGTTTGTCATGTTAGCTTTCTTGTTTGCATTTAGATGAATTAAGTAGAATTATGAATTGAAGTTTAGGTTTTTGAGTGTCATGGCATTTAGACGTAGCTCATTTTTTGTCCTTTCATCTTGAGAAACTGTGTCCTTTTACCATTTTGCTGGTCGTATTTAATCTTGATGACTAAATATGGATTTGCTTGCCTGGTGATTATGGAAATTAGAAAACTAGTATGGTTGCTGTTTAAAGCTTTTCCTGGCCATGTTTATTGAAAACCAACTGCCACTTTCCATCTTCGAATTGTTCTGTGATGTGCTGATTGGTTTGTTGGGTTTCCTGGCCATGTTTATTGGCTGATTAGTATGGGTGTAAATTATGGTTTCTTGTATGGGCAGAAATTGATCCATTTTTATTCTGCAGTAAAACTGCATAAACCCAATTACCAGATAAGCCCAGTTGGGGCTTGAAAGTCATGCAACATTTTGGAGAAACTTGAGAATTATATTTGATGTTTTATTTTTGTTCTGGTTATTGGCTAATTTACTCTAATAATGAGAACGTCCTGGTGCCTTTGGGTTTATTACAAGGTAGGTGGCTTTTGGTTTTGGTCATGCACCGACTTAATTTACCGTTGTTGAGATTCTTTTTCCTCCAAACCCTCTCTTTTATCTCTGTTTCAATGATATTGACTTGATGGACAAATTCTGGACAGGGATGAGTACAAGGAATTTGAAAAGTTGATTCAGGAAGACTTGCAAGAAATCGATAATCGTTTGGAAGAAGAAGAGGTCATCTAGCTTTCAGTTTACAATTAAATGATGAATTCTATCATTCATGTACATTTGCTGCCTTGCATGCCTGCCATAAGCTTATCATTCTCTTTTTGATCTGCAGATTGATGCCGCTGAAATGATAGAAGAGGCTGAAACTGTGGAGCAAAGGTAAGCTTTTATTAGCTAGAAAGGAATAGACCAGTTCAAAACATCTTATGCTTCATCTTGATGTAGTCTGGTGACCAGTTTAAATATATAATTCTTGAGAATTTAAATTGTTTCGAAGTGAACTTACATATACTGGACTCCAGAAAGTTTTTATGTTTTCATTCAAATTCCTACTCTATCATTGTATTTTGGAATAATCCTGGATATTGTATTTCCGTGTTTTCAGGACCTATAGAGAGAGAGTGGAGATGTTGAGGAGGAAGAAAATGGAGCTTAAAGCTGCTAGGTCTTCTGTGGATGGTAATGGTATTCAAGATTTGGGCAAGAAATCTATCAACGAGGAGTCATCAAGTGATGATGACAGTGATGAGAATTTAACAGTCGATTGGCGAGCAAAGCATTTGTAAGCTCGAAAATTTTGTTTGGAAGGTAACTCTCTCTCTCTCTCTCACAAAACTAGACAGACACATGCACACATATTTATCTTGTTCTTTCTTTCTTTAACATGTTTTGGATAAAATGTTCCTTCAAAAGTTGTTGGTCAAGAATGCTGAATTTGGTATCTTCACTTGCAGATCAAAGGTTCTGATCATTTCACGAGTTCATGAAGTTCGGATAAGTGAAGATGACCGAGTGAGAATCATTTCATATTAGATAAGCTCCACTATTCCCAGGCAAAAGTTTAGGTGGCTCTCTGATCAGCTGGAATCCAACCTTGAGAAAATGCTAGTAGGCTAGCATTAACAAATTTAAAGGCCGAAATTGCAGGTTTTCACCAAGTGCCACAAAGTTGAACTTATGCGAGCCTTATAGATCATTTAGATGCCATGCTGAGAGCGCAGTTGTTTTGTAACTACAGCAATTACCTATTGTGAGATGGATATAGTTTTTGGAGCTTAGAGCTGTGATTGGTTGGAAATGCAGATATTGTAATTGGAATTCTGTATGAAGCTGGAATGATGCGAAGATATCTTTGCAAAGTGCTTATTGACTATAGGTATTAAATCGCCCAGTTTACTCGTTTCATCGAAACGAGGAAAAACTAAACTGCAACTTGCATAGTGGACCTTTATCTATACCACTCATGTTCCATGAATTCTATTTCCTTGTTAATCTCGGCTTTGAGAATGTATCTGACCGTCTCAGTAGAATCACAATCTACTGAATTTGTAAGTTTGGCCGTGATTTGTTCCCCCTGATAATAGATTCAACTGGGATGTCCAACAAAATAAACGCAAATGTATTTGTTAAACGGGTTTTTGCAGACCACGTTGAAGTTTATTCTAGCGTTGGAGTACATGGTTCAAAGACTCGGTCGAGTCGTCATCGGATCGGGGATACTGGGATGAGACGACTCTGCGATAATAGAAGAGACGACTCTGCGATAATAGATCGCCAAGAACTCGATCGACACGTTTTCGAAACGAATAGAAATGGCTGAATCGTCCTGAATCATCTTGAGTTAATTCGATTTTTTATTATTTTTGCTAATTTTTTATTATTTTTGTTTATCATAATTTTTTATTATTTTTAGAATATTAAATGTTTCAAAAATTTGCGTCTCGTCAAGACTACAACCGATATGCCAAGACCGATGTGAAGCTATTCGGATCACGACTGCAACCGCGGCTTTGAACCATGTTGGAGTATGAAATGAGATTCATTTACCAACATAAGCATTTGCCTTTTGTTTTATTTACTTTCAAGAGGAGTTTCAACGGCTTGGACCAGATACCTATTAGGGTCTGGTCCAAGCACCACTACTCCAGAAGCAGAAAGGAGTACCCTTTAACGTTTTCACTCCTGTTAGGGTCACTCGTGTCAAACGGCTAAGCAGGTGGTCCTTGAGGGAGTATTGATGGCGCCATCAATGCCATCAAAGAGTCAAAAACTGCAAAAATATATATCTCAAATGTCGAAGAAGCTTGCGGATCTTGACACAGTACAGCTCAATTTCACCTTAAAATGTGCAAATCTCCATAGAGGTCCACAGTGGAAGCCGAAGTTTATGTTAGAAGCCAACTGCCAACTGAAACACGGGAAAAAGAAATCTTGACACATTTATTGGAATACAGGGCTAGTTCTGTTTCCAATGAAGGCACAATAGGTGTTAGTCTCCAAGCAAAAAGAAAAAAAAGAAAAAAAAAAAAACTCCTATGAGCAAAATTATATGCGTCTATTTACAGGTGAATCGATGATGTCCAATTTAGTCGTTCAGATCATAACTTTTACAGTAAACTTGAATTTTGAACCTCGAAGCCAAATTAGCACAAGAGATGAAAAAAGAAAATAATTGTTGACAAATAAGATGCATTTCTCGTTTAGTTGCTAAGTTGTTGAGGTCAAAGGACGTAGATGAAATCCCCCATTTCATTTCATATATTTGCTGCTAGAATGAGTTAGTATATTTCAGGCAAGCCACAAAAACAAGTGTTCTATGAAACACGGTAAAAGATTTCAAGCGGATCCGCATATTGACTTTTGATTCTTCTCTTACTTAATTTCCCATAGTAAACACGTCCATAGCTAGAACAAACGAGTGCACAAAATATGCTAAAACCTCGCACGTTTGCCGCCCAAAAGCTACAATGAAGTAATTAATGACTTGATTAGTGAAGTTTTTTTGCTGAACACGCCAGGCTAACATGCAACATGATTAATCAATGCAAAACCAGTTGGTATACAGCTCAAATTCACACCAGGCAAGGCATCCTAGTCCCTTATTGACTCGTCGTTATTTGTTAATGTTTCTTAGTTTTCACTCTTCAATAGCAATGAATGATCACCATATTACCCTTCAGATATGAAACTCCAAACTCCACAAACACTCGAGAAAAGCTAAGCCTGATGGCTTGGAAGTATTCAACGAAAATGAGTAAGAGCTCATCAAATGGCTCCCTCGTTCTGTATGTTTTGTGCTTTGGTACCCTGCATTTGGCTTCATCAATGTTTGTCGCCAATGCAAAACAAGGCAGGCACCAAGAGAGTGATAGGATCATCAGGTTGCCTGGTCAAGCGGCAAACATTACTTTCTCTCAATACTCAGGCTATGTAACAGTTGATAAGATTGCTGGCAGGGCTTTATTCTACTGGTTGATTGAATCTCCAGCTAGTGAGAAGCCTGAGACAAAGCCACTTGTTTTGTGGCTCAATGGTGGACCTGGCTGCTCATCCATTGCTTATGGCGCATCGGAGGAGGTTGGCCCTTTTAGGGTCAGTCCTGATGGCAAGACACTCGGTCTGAGTCCATATGCTTGGAACAAAGGTAACGGTCAATGGATATGATTACATTCATAAGTGCATCACATATTTATCATACCAAAACACAAAGTTAAAAGTGCTTCCACAGCTGACATCATGGTATGTACATCAACTGACTGTAATATCTAGAGCACTTGTCAGTTTGAACTCTTGCGTTATTCTAATTTAATTTTTTCTCTTGCTTTGTCCCTTGTAGTAAGGTTTAGATTAGTTGGGCAGAACTTAGTTATTTCTGGTGCGTTTGTCATGAGTCATTAATCAAACAGTAGTAGAAGGAATCAGACACAGAATAATGGAGATATGGCAAACAACGAAAGCATGCCTAAAATTTACATTTGATGCAGTGGCCAACTTACTATTCCTGGATTCTCCTGCTGGTGTTGGATTCTCTTATTCGAATACTTCATTTGATATGGTGACTGGAGATAAAAGAACAGGTGTGTGGGCATGGGTTGTTTGGTCAATCGTACGGCATTGGTTTCTTTTTTTTCTTGGTCACTGACATAGTGGTTTAAAATTGCAGCTAAAGATGCTTATAACTTTCTGAAAAGATGGTTTGAAAGGTTCCCTCAATATAAAAACAGGCCATTTTACATTGCTGGAGAAAGTTATGCAGGTTTGATACTCCATCACCCCTTCCCCCTTGCTGATCTAGCCTTTGACTTCCCTCTTCATAATTAAGTCGATCCACTTCTTAACGCCTTTCATCTGATCAACTGCCTGGGTTTTCAGGTCACTACATTCCTGAGCTATCTCAGGTCATAGTCCGACACAACAAGGGTCTCAAGAATCCCATCATAAACTTTAGAGGATTTCTGGTAGGATTTAACACAATTTGGGAAAAAAAAAATCCCTTATAACATTTATGTAACTGAAGTTAGTTTTAATCTTTATTCCACTCAAAAATTTTGCAGCTAGGGAATCCGCTGATTGATGATTACTATGACAACATAGGAACATTTGAGTTCTGGTGGAATCATGGATTGATCTCGGATTCAACTTATGAGGCACTAAACAAATCCTGCCCATATGACTCGTTTTTGTTCCCAAGGATCCAGTGTTTCCAAGCCCTTGAAAGTGCTTATTCGGAGTTTGGAGACATCAATCCCTATGCCATTTATGATAATCCTTGCAACGACCTCGGAACCCCCATCAATAACTTAAATATGCCCCTGGTGAGTCTTTGGCATCCTCACCTAAGACCAGACCACTCATTAATTTTATCCTGGGAAAGTCTACAACATATTCTAACAATCTCTTTAGATGCCTTTGAACAATCTCTTTTGTATTCGTATCTATTCGCATTTTGTTGATCTTGACATTGAACATGCTCTGAAGTGGACCTCATCTGTTGAATATACAGCCCTGGAAATTCAGAGGGAATGATCAGTGCATCGTGAAGTATACGAAAGTGTACATGAATAATCCGGATGTACAAAAGGCTCTGCATGCCAACATTACTCAACTTCCTCATCCTTGGATGACTTGCAGGTTTGGACTACAATTAACCTAAAGAGAACTGAGAGGTCTAGAAATGGATAAAATATAATTGAGAAAATAAAAAATGAAACAAAAAATAAATGTTGAAAAGCTTAAGCTGTCGCATAAATAACCTGTTTTACCTCAAAACACATCAAACTTCGCAAAAATAAATAAATAAATAAAGAACTGGTAGAGACCAATGTGACGTCTCAGCCTCTTGCATTGCAGTGAAGTTATAAGGAGCAGCTGGACTGATTCCCCGAAATCTATGCTCCCCATTTTCAAAGAACTTATAGCAGCAGGCCACCGACTATGGGTCTTTAGGTAAGTAAATTAATTAGACTGCATGTTTGATCTTCTTCCTTCGATTGACTTGGTTAATCCTACCTTAAAATGGATCCAAAAGTTTTTGACTTACGATTATTTTATAGTGAACCCAAAAAAAAAAAAACCCACAAAAATTTGATGGTTAGTGAATCTGGAAATTGATTAAACAGCGGAGACACAGATGCAGTTTTGCCGCTCACAGCTACCCGCTATTCCTTGAAAGCTCTAAACCTCAAGAACATTACTGATTGGTATGCTTGGTATGACAAGCGAAAGGTTAGTGACATTATATAAGTGCGTATAGAACCACTTAGTCTTGAAATTATGTTTCATTTTGATTGAGCTATATATTTGTCATGAATTCCTCCTTTGGATATTTTACGCAAATTATCTGCCTATATAGGTTGGTGGTTGGAGCCAAGTATATGAAGGTTTGACATATGTGACGGTGAGAGGAGCTGGGCATGAAGTTCCATTGGGCCGCCCTAGGCTTGCTTTGACTCTTTTTCACCATTTCTTGAAAAACAAAAATCTGCCTTCATCACCAAGTAAACTTTTTTGAGTACCCAAAAGGATTAGGAAGCAAGTTCCCCAGCAATTTCAGAGCTCTATACATATGGGATTGTTTCACTGTTCATACTTGGGTAATGATTTGATTGTTGGCTGCCATTCTTTATTTTTATTTTATTTCAAGAAATAAGCGCATTAGAGCTTTTTGTTTTCTGTAAGGGTAAAAAAAAAAAAAAAAAAAAAAAAAAAGACTTTGCAGGATTAATGAATTGGTCAAGAGTCACTCTTAAAGGTGCTTTGGCTGCTGAAATGGGGTGTCATGAAACTGGTTAATATTTGTCCCATCATATGTAATTTGTTATTTCCATCCTTTTGTGTGGGTTATTTTTAATGTCAATTAGCTGTACTCTATTTGTATTGATCCTTATTTAGTTGTAAAAATTGATTTACTCGCAAAGGTTTAACTAGTGAAAATAGCTACCTCAATTACAATCCACCGGCAAAAATTGTATTGCCAATCCTTTTATCCGCCATCCTTATTATAGTTTATCACGAAATTAAATTCAACTAAATGATTAAGAGAGGATTGAGTATTTCAGAGATAGATGCCTGAGATTAAAGCCAATTTTGAAACTTTAGGACTTAATTAATAAACACTTTTTAGAGTGAGGGATCAATTAAGATCTTGATTAGAAGTTGAGGGACGATTGAAATAAATATTATTTATCCTTAAAGGGCTTTTCCTGTGGTTCAACCACTTCTCTATTTATATACTACTTAATTTTTCTCCCTTCTCTGGAACCATAGTGTAGTGGCTTTAAAGGATTCTCTGGGCAGCACCATGTTTTAAAAAACTTAAAAAAAATTGGTGGCTATAAAGGATTAAAGGGTCGACAACTTTGTAAGATAACGGATCACGAATTATTGATAACTTTTAGCAATAAATGTATTTGTGGAATCTAAAAGCGAATCAAACTGGGAAATCAATTATTAAAAAAAAAAAAAAAAAGGAATAGAAGAAGGAGCCCAAGATGAGAAGATAAGAAAGAAACAATCAAAATATTCCACAGTCCTAATTCCATTCTGATCATCATGCTTTAAGAACAAGCAAAAAATTGATATCCATGCCTAAAAGCTATAAAGCCACTTTACATACATTGACTATATTGTCCCTTATGCTTTGCTTGCCTTCTACCCACGAGTTATGAATAATTCAGCTGATGCCTTAACCCTCCAGCACCGCCTGAAAACAGTAACTTGAACTTTTTCATCTGTGTCTTATGTCTCAATAGCCAAGTTTGCAAGAAAAGAGATTACTATTTTCTCGGCAAATTGTTGTGCACTAAAAAACGCTTGAACAAAATTAAACAACGTTGTGTCGAGTTTGATAACTACATCTAAACATGGCTTCTAAGTCCAATCAAGATTTTTTTTTTTTTTTTTGATTGAAGTCCAACCAAGATTCAAGACAAAATGAACCAGTAACTGCCAAAACAAATCAACTCGTCATTCATCATTAGCATTAAAAAAAAATCAAGACGGAAGCTCTTTGAGTAACAGGTCTTGCATGAAAATCTTACCAGTGTAATATATACTAGCCTTTTTTTCTGGTGCAAGTATATGCTTGCCTTAGGATAGGATTTTTAAGATCTTCTTCAGTGTTCAAATTCTGTGTTTAACAGTTGGGAACGAAAAAGGTGGAGAGGGATGAGAGAATTAAAAAAGAAAAAGAAAAAGAGAGAGTATGCAGTATGCACCTGCCTTTAGTGCGTGCAGTAAAGCATATAAAATCTAAGCTTGCAGCATGTACTGGTTTTTTAGAGAAATCCAACTAGAGTTTCCTTAATAGCTAAGAAGTGCATTATAGTCATTGTCACCAGTTGCAAATAAAGCTCTCTGATTAACTTATTATTCCTCAACCCGCAGCAAAAAGCAATGAAGCAAAGCTGGCTGATACACATTTTCACAATTCTTTAGTTCCCAACCATTGTCTCCCTCTCAAAAGCAAAAGCTGAACAAGACACCCCCCCAACACAAGAACCCACAAAACACCTACAATACGCACATAACAGTTGTACACTTCACTGAGCGATCAAATACTACAACTAGTAGCAGTAGTAAAAATTAGAAAGAAATGTACAGATTTAGCAATACAGTAATAGGTTTCTTGAACCTCTTCACACTTTTAGCCTCAATCCCGATCATCGGTGCAGGTTTATGGATGGCTAAGAGCAGCACCACCTGTGAAAGCTTTCTTCAAACACCCCTTCTGGTGATCGGCTTTGTGATTCTGATAATATCGCTGGCTGGTTTTATTGGGGCTTGTTTCAACGTTGCATGGGCTCTGTGGGTGTATTTGCTGGTCATGCTGTTTCTCATAGGAGCTTTGATGGCTCTGACAGTTTTCGGGTTCGTGGTGACGAGCCAAGGTGGAGGGCATCCGGTTGAGGGGAGGGTTTATAGAGAGTATCACCTTAATGATTATTCTCCATGGTTGAGGAAGAGAGTTGAGGATCCTCACTATTGGATGGCCATCCGGAATTGTATTTTGAGTTCTAAAACTTGTGCTAGCATTGTTATGTGGACTCCTTATGATTATCTCAACAAAGACTTGACTCCAATTCAGGTATCTATTGTCTTTTCTTTTTTTTTTCCCCTTTTATTTTTTTCCCCCAAATAAGTAGAAGATTTTGATTGTTTAGAAATCAATTGGTGGGAGGACTCAGGTACAACATAATTCTTGAAGGCACGCTAAATACTGGAGGTAAAAACTAAAAAGGGCACTTAAATTTGTCATAGTACAGAGTTGCCAAGTCTCCTTTTCATGTGCTATTTCTGTTCGCTATTTTTGGGGGCCAGGTGGGGTGAGGATGGACAGGCCTTATGGTGGTCAAGAAGCAACTGTACGTGTTCATGTTGGTGGTGGTTTGGTTTGCGAATGTTTACAATTCATCACTTTTCACCACCAATTTGAAAGAGAATCCATTCAGTTTGTCCCGCCTAAATTTAGAGGAATGTTAGTAGACTTCTTGTATGAGACCACTCGAAAAATCCCAATCTATTAGGCCTTTCTATATCTCCTTCTTTTTTTTTTTTTTTGGTTTCTTTCTTATGACACAGTATGATAGTAATCAAATCGAGATTTTTCGAAAAATACAAATATTTCGAAGATTGAAGACAAAAATTTTATATGCGCTATATTACAGTATATATCTTAGTCATATCCTGACCAAATTTTATTTTAAAATTGAACATGCATAATATAGTGAGGGTGTACGAATTAAATTTAATGGTAATCGAGTTGCAGTTATTTATTATTTGTTGAGCAAATTACCTGATCCACTGAATTTTTTGAATAGCAAAGCTTTGGCTACTCAACTTTAACAATATGTATTTATCCATTAAACTATCAGAGATGTAAGTTTTGGAACATTCGGTCTGTTTCCATTATTAAATCGACTAGATCTAAAGACTGCATGAGTCACAAGACATAACTAGATTTAACAGACTTCACAGTGAAAACAGGCGAGATGGCTCGAGATTTACACTTTTGATAATTTAATGGATAAATACATGCTCTTATAAGTTGAGTGGCCAAAACTCTACTATTCAAAAAGTTCAGTGACTACTCGGGTAATCTGTTCTTACTTGTTTTGTCCAGAAAAGCTTACACATAAAACTTGTATGGACTAGTGTACAATTTGATTCCAAACGTTAAGGTTTAGTCACCAATTAAAGTTCTACAAATTATAATTGTAGGTGGGTACATAGTAGACTTAATTCTGTTAGTATATATTCCTCTTTGATGCATATTGCTAATTAAAAACGTATGTATAATGCTGCTTAAAAATATACATTGCAGTCTGGTTGCTGCAAGCCTCCAACTTCATGCAATTATGCAGCAACAACGATGGCTCAGGACCCGGACTGCTACCAATGGAACAACTCCCCGACCATGCTTTGTTACCAGTGCGATTCGTGCAAGGCCGGAGTGCTTGAAGATGTGAGGAGAGACTGGCACAAGCTCTCTGTACTTAACATTGTCATGGTTGTTTTACTCATAGGCATCTATTCCATTGGCTGCTGTGCTTTCCAAAACACCAAAAGAGCTGAAACAGATTATCCTTATGGCCGTAACAGGATGTCCAAGATCCACCCCAGATGGGATTTTCATTGGTAATTAACTCATCAAAACCCAATAACTCAATCATCTATCCATCCATCTCAATCCATGCAAAAATCTGGTCTTTCTTTTGGTTTTTGCTTTTTATTTTCATTTTTTTCTACTTTGTTCTTCTTCCATTCTTCCTTTTGACGTTTTGTTTCTTCGACAGGTGGAGATGGTTGAATGAAAGGAGACACCAACTTTACTAAACAAAGGACATGGAGGAAAGCTTTCACTTTTTCCTATGTATTTTACAGTTAATTGCAGTCTTTCACTGTGCAAAAGTTGGATATCCTTGTGCTGTTTTCAGATTCAGCTTATATATATATATCCCATTGGCGTGGTTGGCATTTGGATGTGGATGGATGCATGAGCCTCTCCTCTACTTTAACAAACCATTCTCTTTATTCACAAACACTAGCTACGTTCTGCTCTCTTGGTCCCTCTTTAACTTTTAAGCTTTTAACTTTGGAATGCCTCCCGCTTCATTTCAGACGTTTGTGTGGTTGCCTATTCACTATTGCCTGTTGGCACGTACCTTACAAATTTTTTGTTTCGTCCTATTGCTTGTCAAAGATTTATGGGGAAAATGAAAAGAGGGGCAGGCGTGACTTTATATATTTTCGTGCCTGCTGCTGCTAATGGATTGCTTGGATAATTGTGCATTTTATTTTCCCCAACTCACAGCACATAAAAAATAACGATGGTACAAATAATATTTATGTAAAATAATTAAGTTTTATTTGGCATGACAGTATGGGCCAACCAAGTCCAAATTTATGTGAAGAACTGTAACCAATTACATTGGTCCAATTTTTTTCACTTAGCAAAAACAAAAAAGAAGTAATAAAAGTTATGAATTCCTTATCTATCATTCAAAAACTCATCACTAATGGCAAAGCCTTTAGCGTTTTAGTTTTATTTTATTCTTCAATTATTCGTTAAAGTCTTTAATTAACATAAATTGTATGAGTCAATTCATTTACTCTAAAACTCTTCTAGAAGTTGATTTTACAAATTGAGCCTTTACTTTACTGCTATTTATCAACGTTGTTTGCCAAAACATAATGATGTTGATATTTGTGTGATAGAATTTAAGTTATAAATGAACCTCATAGTTTAGAAAAGTTTGAAAAATCTTTAATCTCTGACTTTTAAATAACGTGTTGTAAAAAAAATTGTCCAAAGCAAAATGAAATAATACAAATATTATATTATGATCATTATTGATGATCAAAATTTGACAGAAAAAAATTTATTTCGAGAGTCAATATAATCAAGTGCAAAGCATATGAAGTATTACTAGTTCAATTAAAAGTAGGCAAAGTTCGTCAGAAATATATAGAATCGAGAGAACTTCTTTTTGACAGAATCCTTAAATCAAAGAAAGAATTGTATTCAGCGTTGAAGTCAACAGTCGACTGACGTGTGGCCATTTCGAAAAATCGAACTAAGAATATAAAAAAAAAAAAAGCAAAGCTTTTTGGTGGAATAGTTCCAAAATAGGTAAAGCACACCCAAAGATCGGTAATGAAACCTCGAGCAGCTCTATGGCAGCCAGGAAAATTCTCCAAATTAGGCGGAGATAGAAATAGAGATATTAATCATTTTCGAATGTTCCAACCGAGTCCACTTTCGTGAGTACCCACTGTGAAAGCATAGGGGAACACAAACAGTTCCGTCATATGATGTTTTTATACGTTGAAAATGTCACAAGTTGACCATTTAAAAAACAGACACACACACGGAGACATATCCCATGATTAACATTTCAGGTCAAAAAAAGAAGCTTAGGACTTGGTTTGACGAGATTGTGGTCAACGTTGAATCTTGAAATCTAAAAATTAAGTGCTAAAGTATTAAGTTGCTGAGTTGGTTAAATTATATCTGTCTGATAACTAATTGAATTAAAGTGTTGAATTGAAATATAGCAAAAATATTATATTTTTATCTTTTAAAAAATTACCTTTATTTGTATATTTAGAAAGAAAGAAAGAAGGAAAAATGTGTATGTGTGTGTTTGAGAGAGAGAGAGCGAGAGAAAATAATAAAACAATTTAGATGTGGTGTATAAATGTGCATATTTGTGTGTGAGATTGAGAGTGTATATTTGTATACGTGTGTGTGTAGGGCTGCAAACGAGTCGAGTCGAGTCGAGTTTTGAGCTAATCGAACCGAGTCTCGACTAAATTTTACCAAACTCGAGCTCGACGAGCCGGCAATTTTCAAGCTCGAGCTCGACTCGAATCAAGTCGAGCCGAGCTCGAGTTCGAGCTCGAAAAAAATAAAAAATAATTATTTTATTTTAAAAAAATAAATAAAATAATATTTTTTTCTTAATAAATAATAAAATATTAAGGATATATACGTAATTTTACTATGAAAATAAAAAATAAAAAATATATATAATATACGTAATTTTATTATTAAATAAAAAAAATAAAAAAAATATATGTATATATATACTCAAGCTCGCGAGCCTAACGAGCTTAATATTCTGAGCTCGAGTTCGAGCTCTCGACTCGAGCTTGACTCGAGTTGCTCGTGAGCGGCTCGCGAGCTGCTCGATTCGTTTGCAGCCCTATGTGTGTGTTAATAGAAAAAGAACAAACGTGTATTTTGTGCAAGAGCATATATAAAATTGAGTTATATCTATGAGAGTTACACTACATGTAGTCAATTCAGATTTCACTAAAAAGTTTATTTCATTCAAAAGTTTGTACACAAATTAAGAAGTGCTTAATACATTAAGTTATTTCTGTTATCAAACATGCTGAATTTTCTGAATGAATTAATTTTCAACATCAAATAGAGTTATCAAATAAGCGGATGAGCCGATCAATTTTGGTTTGGTTTGCAGTCAAAGTCAACCCATAGCTTAACAGACCGAACACGTACGAACATCTGATCAAGAGCATCCGTCATCCGTGATACTAAATGACAATAACATATCTCGCATGTTTATGAATTAATTCAAGGGATAATATCAGAAACCTCCTTGAGGCTTTTAACAATTTTATTTAGCTCCTTTGAGGTTTTAAAAATTATACATGCCTCCCTTATCATTTAAAATGACAATATTACCCTTAAATATTTTAATGAAATTTCTTTGTTTGGTATGCTTATACTTATAATAACTTTTAAAATTATTTTTTTCATTCTTTATCCCTCTTATTCCTTTTTTTAAATTTTTTTGTCAATAAAACTGTAGAACTGCCACTATTACATTTAGTTTCTATTGTAACCAAATGTCGAACTAGTGATTTTTTTTATGAGTTAACATATATGTAATCCAATATTTTTGCTGATTTTTATTTTCTATTTTTTGGTATTAAAATTAACAATAAATCAAAAAGAATGGCCCCAAACCACTACTAAATTATGATAATTTCACTAGTTGAAAAATTCATAAATTCTGAATGCGTTATTTCAATATTTTCTTTTCTATCTTATAAATCTAAATCGAAAATAAAATACCATCAAAAGTATCCTATCATAGTGATAAAATTATTAATATATTTTTTTTTATCAAATAATAGGTATGGACATGAAAAATTTGACATCTTTTCCTTATAATTGTATAGATAATCTTATAATTGAATAGAGAAATAAATTAAAACTCATTACACAAGGGCATTTTTGGATATTCATTTAAAAATTTGACCAAGTCAATATTATTTTAAGGTTTTATTACTAAATCTATCGAATCAAGGGAGGTAGGTGTAATTTTTCAAACTTTGGAGGAGCTCAGTGAAATTTTTAGAAATCTCAGGGGAGGTTTCTGAAATTATCCCTTAATTCAATGACAAATAGGTTGCATGGAGAATCTTTCAGTTTGCCAAGTGGTCTTTGACAAAATTAGAGTACATCCCAGGTATGAAAGTGCCTTTTAATTTGAGGGGTTACTCAATGTGCAGAGACGTTTAAGACGTGTCCTCGGATGGCTGCTCTTCCACGTAAATTTGATAGCATCATGAAGTTTTAGCTGGCAAGCATGAGGATGAGGTCCAGCATAACGATAAACAAGACAAAGACACATTAACTCGGCACGGAAACCTTCCAGTCCAACATGAAAATGGTAGCATGCATTATACGACTTTTCAAGGTTGCGGTCGTTTCAGGGATAGCAACGGATTTCAATTCCCTCCAATATTTCTGGGCATGTGGCCATTCATATGCCTTCAACGAATATAGATGAAAAGGATAAATTTTTGACAATTTCATATGGCTTCTAAACATTTCCCACAAAAAAGCATTACGCAATTGCAAGCTGCTGCATACCGTAACTAGTCTAGTTCAGACCTTTTCTTTCTTCTGATACTTTTCCAAAAATTTTAATGGACCACGCAAGAATCGTGTCATCTGCTAATTCGATGGGCAGCTTCATCATCATCTTCGTCTTCTTCATCAGTCAATCTCAAATGCGCGGGAGCTCAAATACGTGGGACGAAGTCAGCAAGGGTAATTGTCTAAGTGGAACAGTCATAAAACAGTGGTCTTCCCTCCCCTTCCATTTCTCCTCTTATGATAAGTCATATATATATATATATTTCACATATTCTAAACATGTAAGCCAAGATGTATATTTATGTTATCCAACTTCATGCTGCCACAGCATAATTTTCCATAAATCAGCATATATTAATAGTGTATATATCTTATCATAAAAGTGTGTGGCGGTGTTCATTTGTACGCAACTACTTCAGTCTTAAATCCATCCTCATCTATCTTAGTTTTTTTCTTACATCTTCAAACTATCAAGTTGATTATACATTGGAGATCCAGGTAGCATAGGATAATTTGGAAATCATGGCCGGAGAAAGTAAAGAACTTACGTTGCAGGAGACACCTACGTGGGCTGTGGCAGTTATCTGCTTTATTCTCGTTGCTATCTCAATCATCGTCGAATTTCTCATTCATCTTCTCGCCTCGGTATGTACTAATTACTAGCAGTTTTCTTTCCAACATTTCGGTCATTTATGTGCTTGATTTAACTGGGCTAGTTGATTATACACAGTGGTTAAAGAAAAAGCGTAAACAAGCTCTCCACGATGCACTGGAGAAGATCAAAGCAGGTAAGAAAATCTTCGACTTCCACTTAGTTACGAGCATGTGAGCTTGGTAAGTTTATATGTACAAGATCACAGGACTAATGAACATTTTTTCTTTCAGAACTTATGCTTTTGGGGTTTATCTCATTGCTCCTTACTGTAGTGCAAGAACCCATTTCCAAAATATGCATACCCAAGAGTGCTGGCCGGACCTGGCATCCTTGTCGGGAAAATGATGAATTGGATGGTGAAAAATTTATAAATCCATGCAAAGCCAAGGTATGTATAATAATTGATGATTGATCATTATGTTGTTCAATTTCAATTTTCTTCCCTTTTTCTTTTTGTTACTCCTATTATTTAACTGTTGCAAAGTATTAAT